GTTGCGCTGTGTAGTCTGGTCGATGTTAACCAACGTTTCAGAGGTCATACTGCCTCCATCATCACCCTGATGACGGAGGCAGTATGACCTCTGAAACTTTGGTTAACATCGACCAGACTACACAGCGCAACAACCCAGAAGACGGATATCTTCAAGATTCACATTCACTGAAGTAAAATGTGGCCTTCATTAATGAAACAGAAATGCTACAATATTTCTTAGAAACATTTGTTTTTCTCAGATGAAATGAATGTAAGTACCACACTATTTAAGGGCAGCTCATCCAAAAGTGTAAATAAGATCCAGATTGCAAGACTATAAGACTAGCAAGGCAGAGATGCAGTAGCGCAATCAGTATAGTGACTGACCACGGACTAGACGACCAGGGTTTGATCCCCAACAAGGGCACAGGATTTTTCCACTAGCCTGTGCATCCACACTGGCTCTGGGGCCCACCCAGCCTCCTCTTCTGGGGGTAAAGCGCAGTCAGGGTGTGACATTAACCACTTAACACTATCTCATGATGAAGTTAAGAACGAGTAGGAGCTACACATCCTCTTAACCCCCCTCCCCTGCTTTCCAGAAAAAGCAGTATATCATCAAGAGGAAAAAATAACTTTGATGTCTCATTCACGATATGCAAGAGCGATGTAATGTAACATCATCATCATCACACAGAGCGCAGAATTTTGCTGTGACACAGAGCATTGTGAAGTAGGGAACTACTGTAACATTATCACATAACCAGAATGAATTCTGCATTTTGTAGCTCCTCTCTTAAGTCCACAACACTTAAGTAAAAATCCAGAAATTATTGTGAAGAAAGTCGCTCGCTGTTGTTGCGTGTGGTGGTATGACTGTTACAGGTGCTTCACATGCAACCTCTTTTTAAGTTTGTGATTGGAAACTCTTCAACTTGAAATTTGTTCTTATGACTGAGGTAGTAACAAATACAGTGAATGTTTCCAAATGTGTTCCACTTTATTCCTCGGCCTCTTGGTGAAGGTAGGACTTCGCATCTGTAACTCTCATTAGCTGATCCATGGAGATGGTCTTGGAGCACATGGGACATGCTTCTCCAGACTCGACAATCCTGTGGCATCACACAGAAAATAATGGATGACTACGTAATAAAGATGAATACATACAGTGTATGCATAACAATAATATTAATATTACCTGCTTTTAATTACATATACAGTAGATTCTGGTCAATTGGGTCATCGGCTAATAGGGGCAGCCATTTATTTGGGACAAATCTTAAAGAACAAACCTTTTTAACTCTTTGCGCGGAACTTTGCATAATTGGGGCAGCCGCTTAACTGGGCCAAAGTGTTCTAGTCCCGATGTGTCCCGATTAACCAGAATCCACTGTATCTGAAAAAAACTACAAAGGGTAGACAATTTAATTAAGGAAGAGAGAAATTACATACCTAGGAACTGTGCATTTTATACTCTGGTATTGTGGTAGTGAAATAAAGTAGCATGAGGTGGGCTGAACATGTAGCGCAGATCAGAGAAAGAAGAAATGTGTTCACAACTTTGGTGGGTAGGTGGCTAGTTAGAAGACTGAGACAGAGGTAAGAGAATAATATCAAAATTGACTTTAGAGAAATGTATAATGAAATCCTCATTTCTGAACTTATTTGACATCAAGGTTTAGTGTCAGTGGATATTAAAGGTCCACGCAGCAACTCCTCCAAATAAATTAAACATTACATATGATTCATAACAACAACCCCTAAGAAACAAGACATCTCACCGGAACTTTATTGGAGATAACCGAGACCAATGCAAGGAAAGATGTTCTGTTGTCACAGTGGCTACATGAACGACATATTCTGCCCATGCTGAAACTTTATCTTTATTTCCTACTACAGCAGGTGTTCATTTCTTCTCCCTTCATCATAAACCTTATTCCATATGTTCATTTCTGAATGTGACTGTGCTCCATTATAATATTTTTATAAAAGCTCTACACAGTCATACCAGCAAATAGCTTGTATTTCATTAATGCACAGCATTCACGGTAACAGTGCTACAGTTCCACGCGAAGGGCTTGAAAGATGACCAGCACAAGAGAACTTAATTAGTAAGGTGGTGCTTATTAAGTTCTTCTCAAACAGTAACAATATTACTCCTAAATATGTAAGAGTGAAACTGTTTTTATAACCACCCTATAAACTTTATATTCTTCCAACTAAATAATTTCATCCTGCATTGTAATTTATATGTATTTTACAGTACGCGAAGACTGTCTCTGGTATTACGCTCATAAAATATGATACCTGTAGGGCCTATTAGTAATAATAATTTACTGTTGATTTCACATGACCATTCTCATGTATTATTTGTATAAAATAATGGCTGATGTAAAACTTAGATGTCTGAAGTCCAGTTAGTATTCATCATCAATGCAAATTAGTTTATAAAGGAGTGGAAGATTTTCTTCAAATCAGAGAAATAAAATATTTAATGTAAGACTTGAGGTTCTCACAGCGGTGAGTATGAAGATATCCGTCTTCTGGGTTATAATGATATGACATGAACTTAAAAAAGCTTATGTTACTGAACGCACATACAAAACAGTCTATAATGTTTTGCGTATTTTAGTCTTTAGTCTACTAGAAAGCAGATAAATGTTGTTTAATAATTACAAATACTCACTGTTGTAGTTCTGGCATGATTGCTGGGAAGTCACAATTTGGACACGCAGTGAGAGTATCCTTTACAATATGGCATCCCTGCAACACGAGAGACTGGCATCAATGGGGGAGGGGAGGTGCAATGTTCTCGAGGGGGCATAAAATGAATTATATGTGGAACTAACTGCTTAATTCCATGGAACATAGCCCTAATTGAGAAGCTTAAGGTCACTCAGTCAAGAAATTTCCCACCTTTTATGGAACTCATGTTCACATAAGAATGAGAATGCCAACTGTCTCTGTCCCCAGGCAGGTCAATCCAGCCCAAAACCACCCACCCTGAAGAAACATTTTAATATTATCCTACTATCCTAGGCATACCTAGGTCTTCTGTGTTGTCTCTTCCTTTCACGCTTCACAACCAAAATTCTGCATTCAAATTTGTCATCTTCCCCACGTGCCCCACCCACCTCATCCTCCATGATTTGATCTTCCTAATAATGTTTGGTGAATAGTACATCAATGAAATTCATCATTACAAATTTTCTCCAGCCTCTTGTCACTTCATCCATTTTAAGTCGAAATATTCTCCTAAGTAACCTGTTCCCAGAAACCCATTTCTTGCATGATGATGTATCACTCAGCCAGACACCACTCCCACACAAAATTCATTAACCCCAGTCAACTGTGATGTCACTGACACCATTTTGGCAAATATGTCAGAAATGTTGATTTACGAGAACATTTCATAATTTGTTGTATAGTACTGCAAGTATAATACATTAGAAACATCTGGAGGTGAGTTCTACACAGCAAACAACATGGGTCCACAAATGCTTCCTCTTCAAGTTACAGCCCTGGCTTGTTCAACAGAGTGCCAACCCTTACTTTGTTTTGTGAGGGTTCTTCGCAGATAAGACAGGTTTTATCAGAGACGTTATCAATTTTCACAAGGATCATCTGTAGGCAGAGGAAAATCCTCACAACGCAGTCCAGTCCAGACACTGGATGCTGTTCAGGGCCAGCGTTTGTGCAGGTACTGTTGTGGGTTATTTGGTACACCTGCATGTTTTTCCACATAGGCTTAGAGGCAGTGATACTGAGATTTTTTAGACAATGAACTGCCTGGTCTACTAGATGCTGTACCATGAATAGTCAGAGAATGAATGTAGTTCATGGACGATGGTGTGCCAACACATTTTAGCCTTATCATGCAAGATGTCCTGAACAACATCTGCCATAACCAAAGGAAGATAGAGGAGGATCCACTGCATGGTCCCATGCTCTCCCAATTTGAATCCTGTGAATTTCTGTACGTGTGGACATTTATAAGGTCATGTTAATTTATCTCCCATTAACACTGTAAAAACTCTTCAGCAAATGGCTGCCACACTATCTGGGACACCTTCTGCATCTTTGAATGTAGATTTGAGGTTTCCACGGTGCAGGCCGTCTCCTGGGTCGTTATGCCAGGCTACACAATGCAACAACCCAGAAGACAGCCATCAACTTTGAATGTGTTTGACAGATAATGACACACGTCTCGGCAGGTACTGAATCTCACTAAGGACATTTTTAGCATCTGTTGTAAATGTATCTGAGAGCCAACAGATTTCACAAACCTTCCACAGCAGTGACTACGAAGAAAACTTTGCAGAAACACGTTTACGTACACAAAAGGAATTACAAATGCAACCATGATATTCAAGGTCACTGTTGTGATAAGGCACGTGGAGGTCACTGCCTGTGAGCTAACAATTATAATTTTCTACTGTTATAATATTGTGCAAAAATGTATTCCAACAAAGGCTCCAGGTCATGTGTTGCCTACTTGCTACGAAAAATGTGACAGGCATGAACAGGCCCATAAGGTCTTCTTCAGTCATGCTAGAGCTTGAAGAACATCTACAAATGCAGGCAAATGCACCACAATAATACAGCAAGCACAGAAAGTGTGAACATTAGCACAACCTCCACATCAAATGTCATCCATGTGTGTCCAGTGGTTCTCAAGTTGAACAGACTGGATGGACGGGCAGACAGACAGACATAACTATAATGCCCATCATATGTTCTTGCTATGCGCTTCATGTAAAAAAACAGATAATAAAGGAAAAAGGAACTTAGATAGCAACTGGTGGAGACAGACCGTGGCAACGCAGAATGGGACGGTGTTCTTGCACTGGCCGCAGTTCAGCTCTGTCTCAGGCAGAGGACCATCGCAATATGGGCAGGGTGTGCTGGGCTCCTTCTCCTCACTTGCCGCTGACAGTTTTGAGCCAGGTTTCCGCACCACAGCTTCTATCTTCTTGGAGTACTTTGGGTCAACCTGTGAGCGATATTCTGGTCGCATCAGCATGGTGGCATAACTAAACGCATGTGCCTTCAGTCCAGCACGACTGCATTCAATCACTGTAGATGTCAGGATGGGCACAACATCTGTGGGGACAGAAATGTAACATTAACGATAACGGGCGTTGTTCTTATACAGCATGCGGCTGTCGGAATGACAAAGACTAGAAGTTAAATGCTTCATACAGGAACACTGTTAACAACCGAGTCTATGTAACAGTGACTGACTGAAAGATTCTTGGTTTTATCAACGTCATGTGTTCATGCAGCGAAGAAACGCAGGATGATTATAAATGACAAAATAGCCAGAATTTGCCTGGAAGCATAAAATATTTCAGAGGACCCAGTTCCTAGCCTAAGGACACATAAATTAATGAGATATGGTTAATATTACACAGAGTTATGATATTGGCACGAGGGGACTCACTCCTCATGAAACAATCTTAGAAAAGTAATATCTGTCAACAAAGTGTTAAAGAGATAAGAACATACTCACGGGACGGAAACTTGGAGATATTGTTTGCGACACGAATGAGCATGCGAGCACCTTTGAGGTGTTCTCCCCGTCTCACATGTAGACGTACCAGGATGTAAGAATGCAGCAGCATCAGATTTGAACGCATTTCTGTTGGAATCTTGATGCAATTATGACGCAATTCCTGGTACATCCCAAACAAGACATCATGTGCATTCCGGTAGTTTCCTGCAACACAACAATCCTATACTTAATAGGATGTCATCCTAAACTAGGTTAATACACGTAACATCCTCTAAGCTAATTTCCTTAATACTCATTTTAACTTCTTAAAAGCCTGGTGGTAACTATATGTCCCACCTGCTTTAACAATCATTAACTTTGCTTCGTCGAGTATTTCGAAACATGTTAATGAGATGTGAAGTTGCCTGCAAGCACAAGTAAGTCACTTTGAACATCTTTTGTGATTTATGGTAAGAACAATCAATGTAATAACATGTATTAGTGACGAGAAATATTCGTAGTTCCCTGTTACTAGCGGCACTGAAACTGATTCGCCTGTGACTCACGGGAAGAACACGCTATCTCTCTCCCACACCAACAGTGCACCCGGCCGAGCACGCAATGCAAGCACGACCGCTGCCGCATAAATTGTAGACCCGGTACTTTAATCAGGATGAAAAGATGAGTCTCCAGCCATGAGACTCTTAATTAACAATTTGATTATTTTAATCGTAAAAGCTGCAGAAACATTTATTTCTGTCCATGAAACTGTACATGGGACACTTGAACGTATCATGTATCTTAAAAGGGTTAATATTGGTACCATTGATTTGCTCCTCATTGGCAACAATGATGGCTGTCTTGGCAGCTTCCTTGTACTGGTGCCGTGCCATGTACAATCGAAACAAGAACTTGGGATCCTGCAACAAAAACATTTTGTATCAGCGTATGAAGTGGTAACCACAAAATAAAAGAGATAGAGAGCTTTAAGTATTCCTGAAGTAAAACAGAAACAAGAGTGGTAAAGAAGAAGGCAAAGAAAGAATAAAAAATGCAGGAAGTTTTTACCAATTAGTGAGGGACATACTCTGTAAATTGGATATGACTAAGAAAGGGAAAGCAGACCCATTTTAAAGTTACTACATCCTGTCAATATAAACATACACAGCAGAAACTTTGACATGGGCCACGACAGATACTGACAGATTTGTAGCACTGGGGATGAGATCTCAAGGCATACAGGAGAAAAAACTAAAAAGGAGTGAATAAGATAGATTTCAAGGCATACAGAAGAAAAAACTAAAAAGGAGTGAATAAGAATGAAAACACATGAAAAAATATAAAGTTAAACACCGCAAGTCAATGTAACAAACAACAGAATGAGATGGTATGTACACAGTTTGAGAATTAATGATGAGAGAATACTAAAGTACTAAAGAAGGTTTTGAACATGAAAGTAAAGGAAAACCCCCTAGAGAGTGATAAAGATGGGAGGAACAAGTTAGGAAAGACATCATACAGAGGAAAGGAACTGACGATCATGAGTTGTGGGAAGAGAAGGAAGGGTGGAGAACCACGATTATCAGATAACACCCAAAGTGTAAATGTCTGAGGAAGAAAAAAGTAATAGGACAACAGGTACATAAAAAATAGTCTCCAGACGACAGCGTCCTGTGATTAAAAGAGCGAGCCCCGCATCCCCTCACAGTGAGCTACAAGCACTGGATATCAACACATCCCCCCCCGAGGATGACAATCAATTAAGTCTGGCCACGTCAGCCACACACAACCAGGCAATCCTAAAGCTGTCGGAAAGAACTCGGAATGACTTGTAGGTCCTGCAACGACTGTCGAGTTCTCTACAAACAAGTCACTGCAACCTCCCATACACACATAGTTGTTGTTGTTGTTGTTGCTGTGAGTAATGCAATGTAGATTGAGAGTCTGTGCCACCTGAGTGATCTGTGATTCTACATCAGTGCATGAATAGTGTGTGAGCAGATTATCTATGGCGAAGGAGTAACTGTGAGACATTGAAGTCATAGTGAGCAGTGTGTTACATGTATTATGGGACCAATGTGAATTAAAGGCTAACAAAACTGGAAAGACAGAAAGGTTAATTAACAGCGAACAACTACATAAAGTGTTTTTCTTTCAAGCGCAGTAACCAAGAATAATAAACCTTCACAGCCCAACAGTAGCTACATGTTCCTCCTGCTTCAACAATCAATAACACTACTTTTTTGTATTTATGGGTTTCGTATTGTTCTCACGGTAAAGAGGGATTATTTCCTTAAAAAATGTTAACAAGCTGAACTTTGGAATAGTGAAGAGTTGTGTTTTCTTTGCAGTACAGACTGAATTCTTAAATATTATTTAGATGAGCTTCGCTTCAAAGGGTTAATTGCAAATGTAAAGTAAAGTAAGTAAAGCTGTCCCACTATACGCCATGTAGGCGCTTGGGGGGGAGTGGAGCTATAGCTCCTACTCATTCTTGACCTCGGCAACAGATGGGGGTGAGTGGTCAGCATCACGCCCCAGCCGCGCTTTACCCCCGGGAAAGTACCCCGGTACCCATTGTAGAGGAGGCTGGGTGGGCCCCAGAGCCGGTCTGGACGCAGAGGCTAGAGGAAAAATCCTCTGCCCCCGTCGGGGATCGAACCCCGGTCGTAATAGAAAATTAATCCAGATTGCAGTGAACTCACATGTAACTGATAAAACTATTATGGAATATACTGGGAAACTTGAATGGTGTAATAATTATAATTAAAGTCAGTTGTTGTTGCTTATAAAGTCATTGGTGGGAGACACAAACAAAAGCATGATGACTGCACAAGACTCACTTCTCTCATAAATAAAACAGCAAATTAGAATGTCAATGATCCATTTCAGATGAAAAGAAAGAAATTTATGTTAAGTAGTTTATTGTCTGTTGGAATGAATTTGAGGGGGAATGCGATCGCGCCAGTAATTTTCCCAGAATGTACATTTTGTTCTCATTTCCTCCCATACACTCACTTTTGGTATGCCGTCTGTCTCGCCCAACAGGAACTCTATCAGCTGACTGGTCAGATGATTATCATTGGCAACACTCACAACATCAATGGCCAATGAGATAGGTTCTGCATCCTCTGAGTTTGCTTTCATTACTTGCATCAGAAGCTTCAGAGCCTGTAACAGAAGGCTTCTGTATAACTATTCTATAATGACACTGTATCAACTACTAAGACTAGTGGAATGACCTTACCTTACTATAGTCTCCTGCATGGTAATAGTATTTTCCAGCCAACATGCTGTTATGTGCTCCTTCGAAGTGCACAGCAAGGCTACGATAGTCTTGTGGTCTCGCCTCCGTCTCTAGCGAGCCTGACAGTATCTCGCCGTACAACTCCATCTGGTGGTGCTGCCTTGCAAGCTGGAATGCCTCATCATGACATTGAGACATCACTAGGAACCGGATGGCAGAACGGTAGTCATTGAGCCTCTGGAAAAACCTGCAGCATACAAATTGAAAAGTCAACAACCCCACTGCATCTCCTCTTTCTGTACCCCATGACGCTACGTTACTGTATGTCACAGCTGCTTCAGTCACATGATTACCAGAGGGACAACTCGCAACGCTACGTAAACAAAGAAGCTAACGGCTGCTTTCAAGACACGAGATCACTGCCCAAATAATTTGCTCATGACATAGATTTCTTTAGTCATAGTTGTAGTAGTGGTGAAGATGGCAGTGGAGACTGCATAGCTCCAATATGAGTGGACATGTGAGATCAGGATACAGTAAGTGCCTGATGATGGAGGCAGCATGACCTCTGAAACGTTGGTTGACATGACCAGACTACACAGCGCAACAACCCAGAAGACAGAAATCTTCATAACAACCCAGAAGACAGCAATCTTCAGACTCACCGCTGTGAAAACCTCAAATCTTACATTATATATACAATACACTTTTTGCTCTTGGCTGCAATACACTTTTAAAATGAAGAAACAGGGATCCTCTGTTTTGCAGGATAGACAATGTCTTTGTCTGTCAACTGTAAGGCCCATTCTAATACTGTTTGCCACTTCCATTTCAGGTTTCTAAGGGCTCTTTATAAGAATACTCTCCGTGAAAGCTTGTCTGTCCCATCTGCTGTAAATGTCCAGCCCACAGTAAAGTAAAGTTTGTCCCACTATACGCCATGTAGGCGTTTGGGGGGAGTGGAGGTATAGCTCCTCTCTTCCTTGACCCCGGCACTAGATGGGGGTGAGTGGTCAGCATCACGCCCTCTTTACTAACAACTTTAACAATACAAAGATAAAATTCACCAAACAACAGGACAAAAGGCAATAACAATGATACACTCATGTTCCGCACATACTTCGGATGCCAACGTTATTTGGTAATGAACAGAATGTCTGTATATGTAAGGTTCAAAAAATATGACTGTAATCTCTGACTGTCTTGATAATGTTGTTCTTCTGGATTGTGACACAGTGTAGATTTGTGGGTAGATACAAATGTTTCAGAGAAACTCTTGTATCCATCTTCAGGGCTAAACATGGAGACAATGTTATGTACCTACAAGTCTACTCAGCATCACAACCGAAAAGAACGTCATCTTCACTGGCCACAGAATCTGATTCTATATAAATAGAAAAACAGGTTTCTTCCACTTGCCTGGCCACCATCTTCGCACCTTCAATGCTCTTTGTCTCCAGAACTACGTGCACCGCCTCCTCCGGGTTGTTCAAGTGATCCAGGTTCAGGCGCACAACACTATCCAGATCACGTGCCATCCTATAAGCGTTTGCTGCCTCCTGGTACTTCCCGTCTGCCTCCTTTGCCTTAAATGTGTCACAGCAAGGAAAACGTGAAGTAACCACGGTGCCTTAAATACAGGTCCATCCTTCCCAATTCAATATTTAAAATCATATCCCCTGATGTTTATCTAACTGAGAAACAGATATTAAGTGACTGCGAAGAAGGCATTCTGTCTGGTTACATGTCTGTCCATGTGTCTAGCACCAGAATGGTTAAGTAAGTTGTCTTCACATTTGGTATTTACAAGTGTTCACATTCTGTACAGCCACCAACGAATAGCATTTTACATACAGGGAAAGCACAAATGGCAATTTCCTTAAAAATGGTGATAATGATTTTCGTTAAATATCAATGTGTGTATAATCTTGCCTGTTGTTTTGTATGGGTGCGAAACATGGTCTCTCACTCAGAGGGAGGAACACAGATTGCAGGTGTTTGAGAATCGGGTGTTGAGGAGGATATTTGGGCCTAAGAGGGAAGACGATGGGGCGTGGAGAAAACTGCACAATGACGAGCTTAAAAATCTGTACTCCTCCCCCAATATTGTCAGGGTGATTAAGTCGAGAAGAATGAGATGGGCTGGACATGTAGCGCGCATGGATGGGACAAGAGGTGTGCACCGGGTACTGGTTGGGAAACCTGAAGGGAAGAGACCGCTGGGGAGACCTAGACGTAGATTGGGAGGATAATCTCAGGCGGGATCTATGGGAGATAGGAGTTGAAGGAAACTGGATTTTGTTGGCCCAGGACAGGGTCCGGTGGAGGGCTTTGGTTAATTCGGTGATGAACCTTCGGGTTCGGTAAGCCATCTAGTTAGTTAGTTTAGTTATCAATGTGTGTAACAAATCCCAAAATTGTTATTGCCTGCAAAAGATCTGTGACACATGTGACGAAACAAGCAGTCTCTATTCACAATAATCATTATTCTGAAGTGATAAAGTATAATATTAACATTACAAATTTAGTTTTCATTTAACTGCTATGAACAAACAACTCAGCCTCCATACACCATACACTTTGAATTCAGATGTGTATACAGTCTCATAGAAACACTGAACAAGAACTTCAAAAGACCAAAATTATTATTTTCACTAGCATAGTCACTGAAATGAACACGATAAAAATATTAAAACAATGAAGCGAAACAAAGTGAGACATATTTTATACAAACTGATACATACGCAACTTCTTTCTGTTACCAGTTGCCATGTTTTTGTGGTCAAATCGAATATTTCACAAATCCCCACCAACATAAAAGACACAATGAAAATGTATTATGGCCCAACTTTAAATAAATCTGTTAATTTTTTGATGATCTTTTTCAAGAAGCAGTAACATTAATTTCTTTGAAATTTCCAAGAGAGAGAGAGAGAGAGAGAGAGAGAGAGAGAGAGAGAGATTAGAAATAAATTGAAATAATACGGTTTTCCTAATAGAACGATCTATTGATCACAGCAATTGGTACTAGTGACATCAGCAATGTGCTGGGCTAGTTATAATAAACACTAAGCCACCAGCTCTAAAACAGGGAGAAATGTAGGTTTTATTACAAATGCCTAAATTTCCATAAATTAAAATCACAAATTTAGTTTGAATATTAATGTAAAACTACCACAACCTAATCTCATGAGTCACGTAATAAAAATATGAGTACTTCTTTTTTATGTTAAGGGAGTTCTTGTAGATTATGGAAACAAAATTTTTCAGTGTGTTTATATTGTTACAAGGTCATCTACAGCCGTACATCTTATTATGGGCTCTAGCACTGATCGTACTTGTAATGACAAGGACATTTCTCTACCCGAAGCATAAAGGACATGAATTTGCCGCTCCTACTCACTGCCACCCCTCCCCCTTTGCATTCACTCTGGTCTTGGTGGCACATGAAATATTACCGCCCAATTATTTTAGCCAACAGAAATCAGCTTCATAGACCAGTTGCCACCCTCTCATGCTTTCAGAAGAGTGCATATTGAGCAGGAATCAAAATTTTCAATAGTCTACCTTTAAGTCTCACAAGTCTTGTAAATAAGAAGGAGCAATTTAAGGTAGCATTAAAAAGATACTTAATTAAACACTCCTTTTACTCTGTCAATGAATTTATGTTGTTTACAAATAAGTGATAAATTTTTCTTGTGTGTAATAGGTAAATCTATTTGTAGCTTATCATTTCTTTAGGTGAATACTTTGTTTTGTATTATTATTATAATAATAAAACTGTATGTTTGTATATTTCAGATGCTCCACAGCAGAAAAGTTTTGTGAATTTCCTCAAATCTTTACCAGAGGTAAGACATGTAGAACATACCGAGAATCACTAACTACATGGCTTGTGGGCCACATGCCCTTGCAACTCTCTCCGATCCCTGTCATTCCGGTCCTTTTGGTTTCACGCACAGTAAGTCACCAACACAGGAGCCTTTCATATTTGTTAACTTGGTTGCCAAAAAAAGGGGGAGGGAGACAGCAACTCCGCTAGGAAAAAACTCTTGACATTAACCTGAAGACACATAATCAGTCTTATGCACTGTCGTGAAGAACATCTCTTAAGGTGCCGACTGACTTGTAACATTTGCCTGTAATGTAACATTCGCGGCGAGCATGTTACATTACACCACAACTGGTGAGGCATATCGAATGCTCGTTTTGAACGCTCGGCTCGTGTGTGCTCCATTCATTTCATTTAATATGTCGGACGTGGAGGTTGTGTTATCTTTGTTCCATTTAATACGCTACTGTTATCTAAAGAACTCGTCACGTTACATTACAGGCAAATGTTACAAGTCAGTCGCCACCTTTAAACACAATATATAACACTTACATTTCAATTAAAAATTTCCACCTGCTTTGTCAGCTAAGTTCTTTTCCTTTGCACGCCCATTTCGGTCACATATGACCATTCATTTAACGATGCATACTTGGTTCCAAACTCAAAAACAAAATCTTTGCATTTTACATCTGATGTACATTAATATATTTTTCCTGTTCTTGCTTCTTATTCTAAGTTATTGATTATTTCTACTTCCAATGCCACTTAGGCATGTCAGAGGCTCACCTTAGCATACTGTAGATGAATCTTGGTTGATGTAATGTTAGGGAGTAGCTCCCCCACTTTCTGCCAGTTCTTGAGCCGGATATAAGCTGACGCAGCTTTGTCGTAGAACAATCCCTTCTCGTACAACATCGCTGCATCACTGAGCTGCTGCTTCAAACAATGCACCAATTTCATATCAACAGAAAAACAGACAGCTGAAAACGTAAAAGAACCAAGTGGAACCCACGCAAACTGCAGGCCGCTGACTGTAAAAACCAAGATGGATAAAGATAGCTGAAAGTATCGCAGATAAACCTCAATCCAGCAGCTTCATTTTCAACAGAGAATGTCCACATAAAAGGAAATACAGAAGTGCTCTGCATTGCAGCCAATATGAATATTCCTCATTGTCTTCTGGCAATTAATTTTGTTGAAAAAAATTTCAAGATGAAATGTAATTATTTAAATAAGTTACACAGGCATGAATCAACATATTATATGCACTGCAAACTACATTACAAAATACCACAGTATACAAAGACTCCCAAAAACTCAAGATTATCTAGGCTCGTAATGGGGGGAAGACGCATTAACAATCTAAAAACACAGATAATCCAAAGTATTTTGTTTGATGCATGCAAGAACATCACAAATTACTCTACTTTTTCTTTTATTTTCCCACAACTGATGTATATTTTGAGAAATAGTTTGTAATGTTCACTTGTATTTGTGAACTGTTAGACTCCTCACAGAAGAATGAATATCACTCTTACCCTCCCCACCCTGTTCTTCATGCTTTTGTTTTGCGGTAAAGAAAATGTCTGTCACGTGCTGGAAACCCAATTCATATTCAACACTCTGCGGTTATTCTTCAACGTTATCTCTGTCTTTCAAACTTGGCAAAACATCTTCTGGACATGGAAAAAGTGCCCTCCATGACTGAACCAGCATTACCAGATTCATGGAAAACGACGCCCAAGATATGCCGTGCATAAAATCAAATGTCACGACTTTGTTCCGTAATTTTATTCTATCAGATCAACCTGGAATCATCATTTCAAGGATGAATTCACTCAATTCCAATGCCATATTCTTTGGCAAATTCTCCATTCTCAAAATTTTAATTAACATGAGCCTTGTTTTGCTACCAGCACAAATTTCTTATGATTTTCACACTGTACAACTGTATAATTGACTGTTTATTTTTATTTTATTTAGTGTTCTGTCTGACGACAGGTCCATATGAACAGGATCCTTCCATCCTTTTCTCGGATTGGGACCTGTTCATATACGTTCTTGGCAGATGATCCAGAAGTGGTTTGCCAATGCCTTCTTCTGTGTGTGAATGGAGTAATTGTTGGGATGCCACGGAGGAAAACTCCGTGTTGCCTAGACCACGGCCTTGCCCAACACAAGTTATAAATTCGGGCACCGCCAGGAATCGAACCCGAGACCCCAGGATTACAAGGCCAGCGTTCTAACCGCTAGACCACCATGGCCATCAATTGACTGTAAGACACCAATATTTTAAAAAGACAGAGCATACCTGTAATTTAACCTCTCTTTACCACCATGAACACTGGAACAAACTTTACCACCAATATCGAGAATAAAACACCCACACAAAGAAAAATATTGTTTGGCCATAGCTTCTGCAGACCGTCCCAAAAGCAACCTGCTCCCTCCCACCTGAACCGGGCAGTAGAGCACAGAAAGATGTTGGAGCTAAGTTCACGTGTGTCTGCATTTATTTAAATAACAAGTCATGCACAGATAATCTGCAAGTGAGTTAGTCCACATACAGATAATTGGAAGTAACTGTAATTCAAAACACAAGTTCAGTTTTATACATTTCATGAATAAAAAGTTACACGACCTCATGTCAATGGCTAATCTACAAACACAACATTTAAATTCTCTGCTGCATTTTCCATTTCTGTCTCATACTAACATTCATGCCCTGCAAGATGTCAGCACACTCCCGCTTCAGCTGGCGACTGCTAGACGTGTCCGCCGCTATGGACACGCCACGGCGAACATCCCCACAGTGAATGGCAGCGCGCGCCACACCAGCTCGACACTGACTATTGTGATTCTCCTGGTCGGGGTGGGGCTTCTTGCCTGGTCCATCTGCAGCAGGAGGTGCCTCCAGCAACCCACGCTCATAGTGACTTAGCGCTTCGGCATAGTTTCCTCTGCAACGTGAAACCACAATCATCCATTTTCTATCATTAAACACCCATTCAGCATGAATCACTATACTTTTGCTATACAGCATGCATCTTTGACAGCAGACTGCAGGTAGGAGGGAGGCACAGCTTTTGTGTGAACCCAATAATTACATTTCATTTTTAGGCCTCTGAGGAAGTATTACTTAACAGGAAACTTGTTACCAAACTATGATTGTATTTCTGTCTGTCTGTCCCACAGATGAAATGAAAGTTGCCAGCAGATGCAACACACTGAGAATTTCATGGTAGTATGTAAAGGCCCAGAAACTTGTTTAGCTCTGTGTTGGTGACCTTAGTTAGGTCTCTCCTTCATCATTCACATGACTAGACGGGATTTCAAAAGTTATAAACTACTCCACCCTCTTGTAGACTCCTCTGTGGGATTGTACACAGCTGGTTTGAAAGTCGCATTGCTGTAATAAGCCATCAATCAATGTTTCATTCCTGCATGCTGTCAGTAGTTCAAACTATTTGGGAAAATTATTATGTAAACTGGATTTATTAATACTGCGACGCTTGCAGTCATGGCTAAATTATTCACTGGTTACACAAGTAAAGGCTAAGAGACTGAAGCTAATGCCAGCAAACATACAGACAATGACATTGTCTGGATTTGCACAGATATCAACATTCTGGAGAAACATACTGTCGTCATGTTCAAGGCAATGTTGGTATCTGCCTACAAGTCCACATGACCTTACAACCTGGAAGACCAACCACGACATCTTCAGTAATGTGAAAACAACAAATCTCATTAAGACACTGACATTAGTTCAAATACAGAAATTATATGTAAAAAAACCAACATGCAGATAATAAAATAAACAGAATCTTTAAAACAAATATATATAAGTTGGCTATAAATGTTTATTGTTTTATGTACACATCTCTTTTTGTTAACAACAGCAAATGATTGTGATTATAAGTACCTACCCTCTGGTCAGTCTACAGATTTTATTCAAACTGAAATGTGTTCGCATTCAGCATGTTAATTATGCAAAGAAAATGTGCAGAAGTCACTTTCATCATGGAAAAGTTCACAAACCCTATCAAACAGAAAAAAAAATGGTGGATCTGTAACTGTCCTACAGTATTTCTACAATTTTATCTGTTACATTACATACCTTATTATGGCAGTTTCCATTTCCAAATCAACGACGCAGCCACCCCACAGTAGCAGGTACGTAATTGCCTGGATTCGAAATGTAACCACTGATCCCAAGCAACAAACAAAAACTCTCTCCCAACGTTATTGTAAGTGTTTCTTACCCGTTTCGTTAATGTTATGAACTAGTTCTAGGTTGGTGGGCACCGTTAAACTGATTTATGATTCTGGCACACAACTAGTACTTTTGTGGCACTTGAGCTTTATACGGTGGCGAGTATGAAGGCAGCCATCTTCTGGGTTGTAGCGCTGTGTAGTCTGGTAAAACTTTATTGAAGTTTTGAAGCCACTTACTGCCTCCATCAACGCGATGATGGAGAAAGCAAGTACCCCTAAAATGTTGGTAAACTTGTACAAGACTACACAGCGCTACAACACAGAAGAAATCCATCTTCAACCAATATTTTTTAAGGCTTCTCTTTTTCAAGCTCATTAATTCTGACTTTTACACGAGACCCTCTTTCTGTTTCAGTTTTTATATTGTTCATATCATCTCTATCCATTTTCCTAAAATTTTGCAACCACAACGATTTTGCCTGCTTCCCTTGACCTAATAATTCTGAACAACCTTCATTAAACCATGGCTTCTGTTTTAATTCATCATTCTTAAGTACTGACTTACACTGACAGTCACACGAACAGCGCGGAAACTCACTTAAATTTGTAGTCTAATTCCCAGCACTTCAACCTCCTTTATATGCAAAATCATATTCACAGACGTACATGGAATGTTCATGTTATGAACTGGACCGCCGTGACTGTCATACCCTTCCCAATCTCACGTGTAACATTCAACTCACGTGAACTCCAGCTGCTGGGCGTACTCACGAGCGATATAAGGGATCTGCTCAGGTGCTAACTTTCCAGCCAACTGAAGGGCTTGGTCCCACTGCAGCAGGTCTCGTCTCATGTGCAACGCTGCTACGGGCTGACTTGACTTGAGGTACCAGTCCTGCCACCAAATGTAACACAGTTCACAAGCTACGAGAACATGAGTCAAGCATTTTGCTGCAGTGACAAAGACACATTTGAAAACTTAACACAAAAATACATCTCTGCAAAACATGAGGCCATGTCATAATCTTTCACCTAGCAAAAACCACATGTCTCCAATACATTTTGCATGATTTTAACACAATTTTCTATATAAAATTAGCTCAACAAAAATTGTATATTTTTCAAAAAGCTATCCTAGCGATTCTGTGATACAAGATCTTAGCTGAAGAGTTGACTGCTTTCAAGTGACCAAGAAGTTTCCTGCTTTATTAGAACCTGAAGGTTCACCACTGTCACTGAACCCTATTTTGAGCCAGCTCAACCCTGTTCATATCTTCCCATTCTAATTCCCTAAGACCCACTTAATGGTATCATCCCAGCAGCACCTCTGTCTACAAAATTAATTTTCTTATATAAAATGTTAAAAAATCAACATTTTATATACAGCTATCACGTTATTTTATTTATTTAGTGTTCTGTCTGACGACAGGTCCATATGAACAGGATCCTTCCATCCTTTTCTCTTCTCGGACTGGGACCTGTTCATATACGTTCTTGGCAGATGATCCAGAAGTGGTTTGCCATTGCCTTCTTCTGTGTGTGAATGGAGTAATTGTTGGGATGCCACGGAGGAAAACTCTGTGTTGCCTAGACCACGGCCTTTCCCAACACAAGTTATAAATTCGGGCACCGCCGGGAATCGAACCTGGGACCCCAGGATTACAAGGCCAGCGTTCTAACCGCTAGACAATTTACACCTTTATGTACTACCTACTCCCCAAATTGTATATTATCCGTCTGAAGAGACACAAGTTGAGGCTTTCAAAGTAACAGACACAAGTTTATATGAAAATCAAAGAATCGCACATCGCTTGTTATTATGGTATGATTTCCTTGACACTTGACATTCTTTTCTAAATCTTAAAGACAGCCTAGTGGTGTAGAAAACTCTCCATTTCCCTCAACACACGTTCATCAATTTTGAAATGAATGAGGGCAAGAAGTGCATTAGTGATGTAAAACACCACAGAACTGTCATGAGTTAATCGAAACACACAAGCAATTTCCCTCTCTGACTACGAGCACCTGTACCATTGGATAGTTCGCATACTTTGCTTTCTATTATTTTGATTCTCCAGTTCCTTCTACTGGGATGGACCGATTCATAATAAACGCGGGTGGCATTTTAAGAAACTGAAAGTGGACAGAAAAATGTAAGTTGTCAAAAAAGCAACACAGAAAGTTCTGACATATATAAAACAAGCTGATTCTAACTCAACAGAGTTCACATATTTAGGCAGCACAACATTCAGGAACAAGTTTTTGTTTAAAAAGTAGATAAACTATTCAAGTAAAAAGGCATGTCTTGCATCTCTAGCCTAATTGCAACACAATCAATTCTTACTTCCCCTGACCTGAGCTGTGTCAAAGTCGCAAAGGAACAAGGCGATGTGTCCTGCCAGGAGTCTTTGATCCTCAACGTCCTGTATGGACTCCAGGGACCACACCATTCCCACATTCCCGATGTGCCGGTACACGCGGATAGCTGAAACACCGATCAACAATCAAGGATCAATAACTCGGCGCAGTTATTGGATTTAATGCCAAAATTTACACACAATTTGCTATATGTACAGGACATGCAATTGCCACAAGAAAATAAGTTCTGGCATTTCTGGCAACATTCAAACAATAAACGCATACATGAATATTTTCACTATAAAAAGCAGACGGCACTGTTGTGTTGCTGTGCACAAATAAAAAAAAACATTTCCATCTGGAGTTTACTGCAGACCAGTGAGAAATCAAGTATAACATATTCCAAGTGCTGCATTTAGTTGCAATATTGCACACTGATAACACTGCAAAATCCTCAGTTGGGGACTTTGGTTAGACCTGATCCACATAACTGAGTCATACAGCATTTGTAAAAAGATGACTGGCATGTGGAGACCTGTCACACTGCTGCTATGTCCAGCAGAAATCCCAAACAGACTGCACAGAGAAATTAACCTCGAATGTCTGTGAGGAAAACCAGGCATCCGTCTTCCTAAGTTATGACACAGTCCTGAACTGTCATGGCAGGGAGCATAAACCGCCTACTGGACAGAGATTCGTCATGGAGAAGGGTTCAACCAATACAACCTGATCCTCACCAAACTCTATTTCAAGGTTTCTCATGAGAACCTCGGCCAGTTGCTCCCACGTCTCCTTCCTGTTGAGCACCTGACATGTCTTCCACGCTTCGGAAAATCTGTAAAAAAAAAAAAGAGGGAGGGCATGGTGCCTCAGTCAGTAATTCCCATATAACAAACTGCAGCAAATCACGCATCATGAGAGGACCAAAGATTACGTAAAGCAGTACACTGTGCCTCAGACAGTCATTCAAACATAGCAAACAACTTGGGAAATGCCTAAGAAAGATAAAATATGCCACAGTAATGTACAGAGCACAAATTTAGATATCGACCAGTCAGACATCAGCAGATTAACATCAGAGACATGATTTTTAAGTAGAGAAGGAAAAACAAGAAGACTCAGTATAAGAAATGAAAACACAGAAAAGAGCGTAACGTAAACGTTTTGGAAGACAAAGTAACAAATAATAAAATGAGTTGGTATATACAAATATTAAGAGTGGATGAAGACAGAATTCCAAAGATAGTTTTGAACATGAAAGCGATAGGAAAATTTTCAAGAGGAAACTGAGGTCAAGATGAGATCAACAGGATAGGAAATACATCACACAGATGGAAGAAAGAACATGGGATGGAAATGAAGAGCAGAAGTTGCAGGAAGACAGAGAACGATGGATAGGCTTCGTTTTCACAAGCACCACTAAAGGAGGAAATGTCTTACGAGGAGGAGGAAGATGACAGCAAGAAGAGCAACAAAGATTCAATATTAAGAAATAACTCACGCATGAATTGCTCGAACCTTATTTTATAAACTCCTGCGTCATAACAATCACTGAACCACTACAGGACTCACACAGAAGCTCTTTTCACCTCTGTCACTGAAGACCTCCCCAAGTCTCACAGCAACACCAGTCACTCTAGCACATTGATACTGTAGGCACATAATCTGCGACTAACCTGTGCAATTTGAGCTGCTTGCTCAGGGCTAGCTCTAAGCTTCCCTTATGGATGTCATGAATATTGGAACCCGAAACCTCATGTGTGGAGAGAGTCATCTGCGTCAGCCTGCCACTTGCAGTCTCCAGGATTACTTTCCCTCCGCACAGAAGCATCGGCACCTGACTGGTTGGCATCTTGCTTGAGCCTGCATTTATCACACTTGTGCCTACAATGAGGAACAGCATTTGCCAGTATGCCACGAGCACAACAGGGAGCAAAAATTATTGTTAGTATCTCGTTTAAAACTACCAGCCTCACGGACTTCTCAATGCACTTAAAGTAAGTAGTAAGTAGATTGCAGAATGTTGAGTAGATTACGGCAGTAGACGTGAAGTTCCAAAAACCACAGTAGAAAGAGACAGGAAAAGTTGGTCAAACTTACAGACATGTGTTACATATAGAGATAACAGGATTCCTTTGAGAATTTCAAATATAAGTACAATGTTTTTAATAAACTGATTTTTTACCGTAGATGCTGAGTATCAAAATTTAAACTTGATTCCAACCTGGGGGGGGTTTTTTACTCTTAAGATTTTCCTTCACATTCTATGGTTTGGAAACTTTAATCTGTTTCTTGCACAGGGCAAACCTTCAACAGAATCCTTGTTGTACAAATAAGTGATGATCCTAGTGTCGTCAAAGGCCACGAACACATCACGTTCCTCTGGCTGGCAGTCCCACAGAACGGCACAGCACCCAGACGGAAAGTCTGGGATCTTCAGCATCTCATCTGTTATCTGAAACACAAGTTTGCGGTTGTCATCTGATATGGGAGCAACATCCTCATGACCACAGAGCTGACAAAGAAAACAACAACAACAGAGCTATTGCTCCTTAACTCCAATCTTTTAAAAAGCCAACAAAGATCCTGTAAAATATCTCAAAAGTCAGTGCATGACTGTTACATCTGAAGGTTCTGATAATGGAAAAGTACAAGACTGTAACCTACAACAATCACGTCTAAAGATGGAAAATTTAGTCTGAAACATGTCACAATAAGATCAACCTAAAAGCACGCATTAAGTAAGTGCTCAAGTGCACGAATTTGTTCATCTGTTTATTTATCTAATATTTCTTTGTGTAAAGATGGACAATTAATAAATATATTAATATTTATGTAACATGGCACTAATATAATCCTTTCACTTGAACTGATTCTCTAACGCGCAGCAAAATTTCTGATGAATTAAATACAGGATTGAACAAAATAAACTCTACCAAAAGATATTTGGCGTATTGTCTCCAGCCATGGCAACAACTGTTTATATATGTATATATTGACAGTCGTGGTCAGACAGTAACTGTCAATTAAGCGTAATATCAAAAAGTGATCGAGAAGTTTGTCAGCAAACTGAGGTTGTGCAAAAAGTTTGTGTATGAATGAACAGTGGTTCGAACAAGATAAGAGTATTAACTCATACAGCTCATGAGATAATCACAGTGCTTTGAGGCCATTTTGGTGAACGAATCATTTTCAGAAGCACAACTTCTGCATATCCCTCACATTCGCCGGACCTAACACCCCTGACTTTTTTCTTTGGGGAATACTCAAAGAATGTGTAAACAGAGAACCAATACCATGCTTCAGTTGAAAGAGAACATTTAAAGTTATCTTTGATTAATAATACAAGTCTGCTTCAAGCTGAGTCTTTTAATTACAGAAGCTGTTACAGAAAATAAATTCTTTTGACCTTCGATTTCAGCAAATATCAACAATGACTGTCAGATACTTCACATGTACAAATGCACATGAGGAGGTCACACTGGCCTGTCCATCATCTGTAAAGCTACTGAATGGAATTTTAATTAATTTTGTTACTGGTGAATTACACTAAATTTTTAACATTTCATACCATGTACTTTTGAATGTACACAGTCCTTAAGCTTTTATTATACCAGCTCTAATGTATAAAGCATAATTTTGGACACGGAAAAATTCATGTGTTTCATAATCATCAGGCCATGTTGAATGAGTTCCAAATTTTTGGTCCTTGCAGACTAGCTTTGATCGCCACGGTGGTCTAGCGGTTAGAACGCTGGCCTTGTAATCCTGGGGTCTCGGGTTCGAATTTATAACTTGTGTTGGGCAAGGCCGTGGTCTAGGCAACACGGAGTTTTCCTCCGTGGCATCCCAACAATTACTCCAATCACACACAGAAGAAGGCAATGGCAAACCACTGCTGGATCATCTGCCAAGAACGTATATGAACAAGTCCCAGTCCGAGAAAAGGATGGAAGGATCCTGGTCATATGGACCTGTCGTCAGACAGAACACAAAATAAACTTGTGGTGGTCTAGGCAACACGGAGTTTTTCTCCGTGGCATCCCAACAATTACTCTATTCACACACAGAAGCAGGCAATGGCAAACCACTTCTGGATCATCTGCCAAGAACGTATATGAACAGGTCCCAGTCCGAGAAAAGGATGGAAGGATCCTGTTCATATGGACAGAAGAAGGCAATGGCAAACCACTTCTGGATCATCTGCCAAGAACGTATATGAACAGGTCCCAGTCCGAGAAAAGGATGGAAGGATCCTGTTCATATGGACAGAAGAAGGCAATGGCAAACCACTTCTGTATCACCTGCCTAATATTAAATAGACACACCAAAGCTGTTGGTATGTGATATGACTTTTTACACTAAAAATTGTCAGATTTAATTCTGATCCGTACCAGCCACATATATTCCGTTTCACATTAGCATCAATCAAACTTTGTCTCTGGTTCATATCTATAACTTCCATGTGAAAAAACTTTTGGAATGGCGAACATTTAATGAATATTATGACAATTCAGTGTGATTAACTTTGCAACAGTAGACTTTTGTGTGTGATAACTGACTCTTGATAACAACACAGCGCATAAATCTGAAAAATAGTAATACGAGCATTACAAGTTGGAATCTCCTTTACACTGATCTATTTTGCAGCTGATGTAGCATCAAGCAGTCTTCACTACGGTTGCAGGTCCTGTCTATTCATGGTTCTGCTGGTTCAATCTTAGAGCTTGTGGCCTGACCCTAACGGAATCAAACGCGCATTTTGGGTACAGAACCACACTCACCGGATTGTACACACAGCCCTCACTCTTATCATCCACCACAACAAGTCGACTGCCCATCTGGTCTGCATAGAGTTCACGGATACCGACACTGTGCCGGAAGTCTGTTACCAACTTCCAGTCCTCAAGGAAAAAGTAGTGGATATGTCCCATCTGTCAAAAAAAAGAATCTATCACTGTACAAAACTACAAATAGGGACAGTCAGAAATGTTAAATCATTTAAATCGGAACAGCTCCTACTCATTCTTGATATTGGCACTAGATAGGGGTCAGCGGTCAGTGCCATGCCTCACCCACAATTTACCCCTGGGGAGAAGGACCCCTGGTACTCAATGCATAGGAAGCCGGGTGGGACCCAGAGCCGGTCTGTATGCAAAGGCAAATAGAAAAATCCTTTGCTCCTGTCAGGGATTGAGCCCCTGTTCTTCCAGTCTGTAGTCAGACATCATAATGACTACGCTACCCTGGCTGATCACAACACCACTGTCTTAAGGTTACTCCATTTTGTAAGACTTGAGGTTCTCACAGCGGTGAGTATGAAGATTTTCGTCTTCTGGGTTGTTGCGCTGTGTAGTCTGGTCGATGTTAACCAACGTTTCAGAGGTCATACTGCCTCCGTCATCAGCGCAACAACCCAGAACACGAAAATCTTCTTACTCCATTTTGTTTGCTGGCCTTACTTTCATGAACTGAAATTCAAATCTCACGGCATACACACTGGTCATTTCCTGCAAAGCTGGAGCACGTCTTTCAAAATGGATGTTGCACAATTCTATCATTTTTCAAAGTTAAAGTAAATAAAAGTCTCAACTGGGGTTGAGCTGAGAGACTGGAATTACTCACATCTGAGGCATAGATCAAGAAGTCAGTGGTGAGTGCATGGGCAGTGATGTTCATTTCGTGCGAGTGCTGGTCAGGGAACAGCCTGACTTCCCTGCCCTCGCCGCTCACATCCGGCGTCTCAATCTGAAATGTCACAACCGGTCAAAGCACAAGTATCGGCGAAGTTGTAAAGCATAAATGACATGTACAAATCCAAACAATATTCAGCAAAACAACTCAGCAAATGCATGTTATCATTCACGTGAATTTTTTAATCTTCCGCCTTGTTTCTGAAATGTAAATGTTATGATAAGAATTATACAATGACAAACCGACCTTTATTCTATAAAGATGTGATTACTTTGAGGGAAATCAAATTGAGAACATAATTAGGAACTTCATAAACCATGCAGTTTGACCAACAGGTGGCAAGACTGACTTGAGGAAGAGAAATATGAAATACATACAAAGTTAAAGTTCCAACAGCTCGGCTAGAAGAACGTGACTTACATAGGAAGACAATATTAAATTATGTATTAGGGAATACAGTACAGCCAACCGTAATGTAGCCTGAAATATAAAGGTTATACACATACAAAATACTGTCTTACTTCAATAAATAAGTTTCAGGTTTAGAACAAATGGAGTATCAATTTTATATGGCATAAATATTTATTTAGACAAAATGTGTCACATACCACAATACCAGTTCCTTACAATTTTCTGGTACTTACCTACAATTAAAACATATGCAAAAACATTGTCCATGCTATTTTTATACGCCATGTCACAATTAATCTTGGTTCCATGGGGATAACATTATATGCTAACAAATTATGTTTTTTTCCACTATTATAAAAATGTCTGTTTCTAAAAAAGGTATACAGCATTTACACTTCTGGAAATGTTTTCCTTTCCACACTGTAACATAAATCTGATTTAGAAGTTTACCTTTGTACTCGTCTACATGCAGGCATACTAAGTATGCACCTAGAGCGCTAAAGTTTTGTAGTTTCTTTTCCTGGCTGAGCACACTGTTCAATGTTTCAATCTTCAAGACGAGTCATCAGGCTGACTTGTGGGTTTGGTTTCATCTTGCAGAAGACCACAGTCATTTCCAACTATAATTCTGAACCAAAGTCAGATGAAATTTTTGGTGGCCTATTTAGCTGATAGTAAGCTTTAATCTGCATGCCTTGCTTTTTAAGCTCAAACATTCTGCAGTATGTTTTAACCAGCAATGTTAAATAATAGGTAGGAGGTGCCATAAGGCACCCTTAAATTCACATGTTCACTGTTCTTACTAATGAGGACCAGGCAACTAAGTCACAGCATTATAATTCCACCAGTACTGGCCTGTCCACAGACGTTAGATGCCCCCCCCCCCCCCCATAACTTGTTACTTTCTGGCAAGCAACTGACTGAAAGGACGGAGAGGATATTAATGGCTCTCAAGTCTTCAAACAAGAAATGCCAGACAGACATATTTGACAACTTACATGAATCAACATAGAATAACTGTAAATGGAAGAATTTGTTCAGTTCTATAACTAGGAATGTTCATGGTATACGAGGTGCGATCGGAAAGTTTCTAGACTGCGCCTATAAAAACCCGTACACTTATCTCAGGTATTAAATTCATCCATCACCCTCGAAGTAGTTCCCCGGGGAGTGAACACAACGATCCCAGCG